CTTGCAGGATCGTATTGGTAGAGCGAAGAATCGTAACTAAGGCCCTGCTTATGCGACTGGTCTTGTCCATTCTCTTGGATGTCTGTACAATCTCCGCGTCCTGTTTCAAGTTTTGTGTCACAAGGTTTACATTGTAAAGGACTCTCCTGCATTCCTTTATGTTCTATAAACAGATCCGCCAGTAGTAAATTCTGCCGTCCTTGTTAAAATACTCTTCAATAGACTCGCATCTGTACCTATAGCTCCTTATTAGATTTTAGCCTATAAATAGTCACGATCTGTAAAATTTCCCATATTTGAAAAATGAAATTTTCAATACCACACAAAAAAGGCGTACGACGAATCGGTACTATGTCATTAATAGACACTTATAGTACCTCACATGTGAAAACAACTGTTTACTATATTTTTGTTACCAACAAGTACAGATGAACAAATTAGAATAGAACGCTCAATGTAAAATTCATAGTATACATCTTCCAAGCTAGAAGTCTTTTTATTTGACAAAATAAATTTATTGCATCTAGTTAAAATCCTTAAAATTAATTTTCATAGCCGAAACTCATGTTCTTCAGACACGTATTACACTTATCACTCTTTCTCTTCCCTACATGCACAATTGGTCGGGCCTCGCCTTGGCCGCTTCTTCGAAAATGAGGCTTGGGCTGATGGTATATGTTCAACCAGTACAATTTGAAAATGACGTTTTTGTTACAAGGTGACACAGTATCGCATTCTGATTCAGAAGGTGAAATTACTTATCACATGAGACAGCTGCCCAAAGGTTTTGAAGCAAGAAAGCAGCTCCCTTTTTATCTAGTCCCCTTCAAGTTTGCCATCAGAGTTGCGGCCTTTATTAAAATATTTTGGTTGGTCCAAGCTGTAAATGGATGATGTGTTTACGTTATTCTCTTGGTTTTAAATCTGAAAGGGCCCAAAATCCTTTTCCCTTTCTTTTTTCTTTTTCATCATGTAAATATATTAATGAATGAACGAATGAATAAATGAATAACACAAACTCTTTGTTTTCAGTTACCAATTTGGCGCCTGGGACCACTTACACCTTCCATGTCAAGGGTTACCGCAAGCACTATGAAGGCCTGGCATCCACTGTGAGAGTGAAGACACGTGGAGCCCAACTGCCTGTGGTGCAAGATTTGAAAGCAGAACGCTGCAGTAACTCTGGTTCTTGTGTTCATTTGACGTGGAAAGCGCCTATTGACAATCGTACGACCAACTGGACTTATGGCATCTACTACAGTCCAACTCTTGCTCAACTGTTCCATGGTATGTTCTTTTGCTGATCCAAAATCAGAAGAGAATTAAAGAAATTTCATAAGTGAATTATCCTTTTTTTGTGTTAAAATGGAACCTCTTGAAAAATATATAATATTACGGGTTGAAATTGCCTCTGAATTAAATATCCAGAAATGTGCTATTGGTCTTTACAGTTCTTACAAATCATACGGAAATCATGCAAATTATACGAAAATTTGAATATTCTATGAATTTATTTCATAACTGTTCCAAATTTGCAACCAGTTGATTCCCTGTTTGTTACATTTATTGTTACTGTTAATTCTATCAATGTTTTACATCTTTGCCATTAAATAACCATCCAAACAGTTTTGTCTTATAAACTGATAATCAATCAATTTACAAATTGACCAGTGACCATTTTAGCTGTACAACTTATTAACTGTACTGTCCAATCCAACAAGGATTGACTGACTACTGACGAACTGACACTGTTTAAAAGTCAACCTGACAGCAAGAATGAAAGGTTTAGAAAAGGGATTCCTACCCTTTTTGTTTCATTGTCCCCTCATAAGATAATTATTTGCTCCATCAGCTAAAATAGCATCTAATGTCCAGATCTTGCAGTATTTTCTAACCATTACTAATAATACAGGAGAGCATGTGCTGTTGTGACACAACTAGAATTCATGGGTTTGCATCTTGCAGGTGCTTTAAATTACACCCAGAATTTGAACTTCAATTTGACGGGCCTGGCCTCATGTGAGAGCTACGTCATTGACGTGGGAGTCGTGGGTCCATTGGGAGCTGGACCTCTAAATGGACGCCCTCAGAACTTCTTCACCAGTTTTGACCCTATTGCGGCACCACGTGGTGTGACAGTCTCTCAGGACCCAACTAACAGCACGCTAATGAAGTTGCAGTGGAAGGCATCGTGCATGGTGATGACTACTTCTGTTGGATATGTGGTAAGAAAAGCACATTTATTACTGGAATATCTTTGGCCTTAATTGAAGGGATCATTCGAAAAATACTTCTGCTTTTTAGGGGGTCTCAGAAATGATGAAAATAAACAATTATACTCTGATTTAAACATAGTGGCACTTGAAGGTCTGTGCGGTGGACAATCTGTGAGGAGAGGGAGGACATTGTTATCCAATTGGTATCTCCTATACCAAAACTTCAGGTCAAAAGTCATGACAATGCTCCAGTTTGGATGACAGTGTTCAGCTCTCCATCCTGCTCTCCATCCTGTTTAAACATATTTTTTGAATGACCATTTAAATTTTTGTTAATGGGTCTAATTCTTCTTATTGTAAAATCTTATTAAAAAATTATTATTCTTATTTCCGTATGAATTTGAAATATTTTTGAATTTCACATTGTTTTGTGTTCTTTGTGTCTGTAGATAAATGTTCATGAAATTACGCGTGATCAGACCTTCACTATTCAGACACCAGCATCCAAGAATACAACTTATGAATGGCCTTTCTTAGTCCACCATGGTGGAGTGTACAAAATTAGTGTATCCACTGCAGAGACTGGTTCCATTCCCGCGGGTCCAGTTGTGTGGTCTGCACATCCCATTCCACCACCTAAGCAATTGCTTGTATTTGTGGAACGTAATGGCAGTGCGGTGGTTTCATGGCGTGACCCTCAGCTTCCAGACGCCATTAAGAATGTACCGTAAGTAAACTTGAAGAAACCTAAGATTCAGAGGGT